ATTACCGCGTGGCAGCAGCAGGCAAAATTACACGCCCATCGTGGCGTGACGGCCGCATTGAAAGCTTTCCGCGCTCATCGCAGGATGGTGTGCCGCGCGCGACGGCACGGTCAGTTACGATTCTGTTGCCCGTCTACCGAAAACTGAATGCGAGTTGAAGTGAATGTGAATGAGTTCAATCGCATTCCCAATGTGGCTAAACTCATTCTTTTAGTAAGCCCAGAAAGAAAGGGAAACCTACGAGTCAGTAGAATACCGAAGGGTAGGGTGAAAAAGTTACTTTTTTCCACTTCCTTCTTCTGTACGACGTCTATTTCGTTGGTGTGGGTCCTGACGCGAAAGGGCAGAGCGCAAAGAAGCAGAGGACTGCGGCTACTAAGGCATCGGAGAGTGCGGCAACTATTTCGCTAGTTACAGATGTGTTTTACTAGGGCAGGGGGCTCAAAGACGGATAAGTCGCTTGTCATTAATGAAAAGTTGGAATGTGTAATGCCTAGTGGTCATAGAATAGCTGCAAACGTAGAAGCGCAGAGGAAAAACGGAAGGTTGACACAATTAAAGGAAGCTTTAGTCGTCTTAGACCCTCTTTTAGCCCCAGTCAATTTGTCCTAGTAAAGGCGCGATACGCTGGAACCCCTCCGCTGAAATGTAATCTAGTGGCCCCTATCCCAGTCTACTCTCAAATATTTCGCTTTAATTTGCGTTTTTAATCATCTTAGTTGTCGTTTATTCTCTGGTAAAACTGGTCGTGTGGTGCCGCAACTGTTTCGCTTTCGCCATGACACGTTGCTTTGCACTTTCTCTGAAAGTTTTTTCTGTCATACACATAGTTGGCAAGCACGGCCAAGGTGCTCTCACTACTATCTCTACTTCCAGTGGAAGTTTCTTTGTGAAAATGGAGCCGGATTTGGGCTTCAGGCCTTTTTTACTTTTTTTCTCAAACCGAGTTTAATGGATTCCGTTAGGGCTTTCTAATCGAATCACCAGCGCATTTCCGACCGCGTTGGAAAGAATCGACTTTCACTGCCGCCGCAGCGCCTAGAAGTCCTTTGACCAGAGTTTTTTTGCGATGTTTGTGAAATGTTTCACTGATTCACAACAATTTTTCATTGAGCTATTCATGTAGTGTTTATGTTTCGGACCGTTCGTTTTGCCGCGTTCGCACTATTTTTCGCGCTAATATGCATCGATGCATTCACATCTCTAGTCGGTGCGATAACTTGACGGCTTTGTTGTTTCTACAAATATTTTTTTGATTTTCTTTGAAAAAAGAAATTGTCGATTGCGTGGCTGTCTAGCATTCTATAGAAACACGTCTTTGTTGCCTCTTTGGGATGTTATTACAGGAAACTGAATGGCGCTAATGTAGTTAGGTGGGGGTGGGGCACCCACTCGTCCGCTCCTCTGTATCCTTTCCCCGTGAAGAGTTTTATTAGATTTAGTGAGCTAGATAGACGTCGTGAACGTAGCCGTAGGGAGCATTACATGAGGGAGCATTTCTTGTGTTTTTTCTGATTTTCAAAAGCCCGAGTAGTTATGATAGGTGGCAAAGTCTGTTTTTGACGAATGAGGAGGTTTGGCTGCCTCCGCATGAGGTAAAAAAGTCTCGTGTTCAATTACTGGGCTGCGCTCACACCGGTGACTAATATAGTTTGGCGCGGCCCACGCAGCGGTGCGGCATGTCTGTTCTGCCAGACTATGCCGGGCCCAGCTACAACTGCAATACCACACTAGGACTGCTTTCGTGCTTCTGATTCATATTACCGCGTCCACACAGCGCGGCGCACAAGGCATCTGTTAGGGTGGACTAGAGGTGCTCTTTCGTCGCCTCTTGTGGTCAAGTATTTAGAGAAAAGGAAATTGGAAAGAGGGAGAGGAAGGAAGTAAAAAAGGAACGAAGAAGGAAGGTGAAAAGGCGTTACGGTTGACAGATGTCGACCATGAACGTGATTCACCGTGGGGATGCTCCTTTGGTGGTGAGCGCCCAGGACGTTCGAGCGATCTGATCGCGAAGTAGGAATACGTTCTAAAAAGCTCTGCTTTCTTTGCATACCGATAGGGGCAGTCAGCGAAGCGCGCGGTCGAAATGCCGCAGTTTTGGGTGCCCATGCGTATAGGCCTAGGTGCATATCGATCGGTAGTATCGGCAATCGCTCGCGCGATTCGTTGGTTCCCTCGTTGCGTGGACTGCCTCTCTTGCTGTCTATCAACTGGAAACCCTGCACCTTCCTTTTTTGGTTTCTTCCTTTTGGTTCCTCTTTCGTATTGCCCTTTTCTGCAAATGCTCGGCTAGGAAATGCGACTATAAAATTCCTCTGGTCCCTTGAAACGAGAGAATAACCGGTTGGCAGAAGCTGTGTACCGGCTTTGCTAACAGTACACTGAGTAGCATACTATGAACTATGCGAATCGAATAATCTCTGCTCCTCCCCCTTTTCACACGGTACAGATGTGTCAATCAATGCGTATCTAATCATTTTCTTTGGTTTTCCGATTCCTCGACTTTTGACTCTAAGAACTCCAGACCATTTTTTACTCTCAGTGCGGTGGGGCATAACCGTTTCTCTCTGATTCGAGTTTCTTCGTTTTTTCTCGAGTGCGCTCTATAATTTAAGGGTTTTAGCGTTAGCCGTTTTCTCTTATTGTTTCGTATAGAGCATGACGGAGTTCAAAACGTGTAACATGATTGATGCCTTTCCGAGTAGTTCCTTTGTGGATTCCACAGCGCTGAGTAAACTTTCGCTGAAATCGGGCAAAGAAGACGATTCAGAAGATGATGGTAAGTACCCTCCATATCCCCAAGTTCGAGTGGGCGTGGCTGTGTACTTCATTCGAATGTGGCATGGGATTAGCTCTTTATAGGGTATTTCCATGCGGGGCAATTTTCATCCTGTCTTGTGGTGGACAAATAAATGATCACAACTATTACAAATTTGAAGTATCCCACCAAAGTGAACTTTGGATGATCTGCGCAGCCACGCCTTCTCCATGTCTGGGATATGAAGTGTATAGTGAGTGGCAAAACCGTGAGATAAGAGTTTTGCATGCAAGCAACTCAGCAGGTCCTCTTGTGAAACGTTCATGTATCCGTAAAGCTGTAATCTTTATGGGGTAAAAGTCTGAGTTTGGGAACCTTTAATCAATCACCATATACCATCTTTTCGGGAGACGGCCAGGAGTCACCGCCGCGCTCGAAACCAGGTCACCGCGCGCGGCGACCTGGTCGCGTGGCGCGGCGGTGAGTCCTGACCTGGCATTTTGCCAAGTTCCGATCGATATGACCTATCGCAGTTTTCCTTGG